AAACTTTGGCAGCTTGAGTTTGAGTCACTTTCAGCTGACTTAAACCCCACTTGTTCTCCCCTTTTTTTCAGTCTTCCTCCTTCCCTAGGACGCCCTTCTAACTATTTCTCTTCACTGACCAACCCTGGTCAGACAAGAGCATTTATGTTAGCTCGCCTCAATATCTTCCCTTCGGCGGTTCATGCAGGCCGATTCGCTAAGATCCCCCGTGCAAATAGGCTCTGCTTTTTCTGTCATACCCTCCCAGATTCCCTGGACCATATTTTATTTCATTGCCCGGCGCATTCATCTCTGAGAAAGCTGTTTCTCGAACCGTGGCTTTCTCTTTTGCCCAACTCCCTATCCTTTTTCCTGAATGATTCTTGCCCGCGGATTACATCTGCCGTTGCAAGATATCTTTTGGAAATTTCCAATTTAACCCATTACCTATGATACTATTTGTTGAGTGTATCTCCTATTTTACGTTTACTCTGATCATTGCTTGGCTTGTACCTATGTTTTGTTGTTGTCCGTTTATATGCCAATAAAGGTTTCGAAATCGAAATCAAATAGTCCTTTCTGCTTCTTAATTCATTACTGTTTATATGATGTCAGTGTGCTCCATGTGCTCAAATCTGTATTTGAAGATCAGTGCCAGCATGCATTGAAATTATGCTTGTGCCTTTCGAAAGATGCAAACACGACCATATGTGCCCCTTTTTGACTTTTTGAGTTCAAAGTTGTGATCCTAAAAACCTGAGCAGACTTAACAGATTTCCTTCCATGATTTCTTAAAGGCCATTAAATGTACCAAGCAGTTTGAAATAGATTTTACGTTGTTGGCAAGAAAGCAATGCACAACTCAGCAGCAATTTATAATGACCATATATTGAGACTGATGGGAACCTGCTTTTTTTTCCCCAGCCTGAAAAAGAAGTAATTGCTCATAAACCAGTGGGTGGCTGAAATACTGTGCATTTGTGTGGGGCTGGAAGGGGAATATACACTAAACCTGTCATCAGTTATATGTTTTCTGTTTCTGCTTTTATTCTGTTTTGGTTGCTAAACTATTAAGTGTTAAAAGACAAGTACTGCTCAGTGGATTTGTCAAAAAGAGCGATGCTTTTTCCATACAGGTTGTTTTGCAACATAAAACAGTGCGATACTACAAATTTGTTGTTTTAATGACTTTCTGAAAGTGACTCCATGCCACTTTGTTGTACATGGAAAATTGTAATACTTTGTTTCCATTGTGTAGTTCTAGTTATTAGCACATACGCATGTATACACATTTTGAAGAAGCAGAAGTAGCTGATGTTCCTTGTTTGTTACATCTGTTGCGGGTTTGCTGTTTGTTTGAAAAATGGAACAGATTCAGTTTTTTTTAATTATCTGTCTAAATCCCTGGGAGCTATTGCATCCCTAAGATAATGGGTTCTGATCATCTGTTTTAACCATCAGAAGATGATTCAGAGGCGCTTACACAATCTTCTCCAGATTGCTAATTTTAGCTAACACAGTGCTAGAAGTCCCTGTTTGATGGGAGCTTCTCGTATATGCTGCAATTGAGTTTGATTGGTCAAGACACAAGAACAAAATGGAAGCTCAGTGTCACCAAATTCCATATGGATTTAGTGGAACAATAAACGTATCATCCAGAGGAAGTGACTCACCACTGCACCTCCCCAAAAGCTAATAATTAAATTAACTGCTAAATTAACATTTTAGAATGATATTTCAGGTAGGAGCTCAGATAGAAGTGATTCCATGCCATTTTTTTTAAAAAAATTCCTGAACACAGACAGGTATTATGTTGTTTACAATAAGTATTTTAATTTACTGGTATCCTTGACATGCTTGTTGTAAATGCTTGGGGACTCTTATTGGTGTTCAGCAGAGGCATATTAAAGCATGTAACTTCTCTTATGGGATCAGAAGTGATGCTGCCACCTCCATGCAGAGAAACTTAAGCCTCAAAGGCCATGTTACTAGTTTACTTTTAAACCAAAACCAAGAAAATTGGATGATACACAGTATAGAGAAGAAAATATCATGCCTTGCTGGCTCTCAAGATGGAGAGTGCCCTCAGAACATTACTACCCAAATGGCCTGGTGGCTACAGTTGTGGTTGTCCTCCTAAGATTCCCTGAATGTTTTATTTTAATTCATTGCAAAAAAATACCATAGTACATTCTAGAAAGTGCTTCTTTTATAAAAGCTACAGTGTCACAAAACAGCAGCTGGGTAGCATTTCAGCTGCTGGGGGTACAGAGCAGACTTCTCAGTTCACTATCAGCAGTAAGTCCTTGGCATGCGCCTTAGGATGCTGTGGATTTGGTGCCAAGTGGCTTAAGATGCATCGTCGAAATGGCTTTATTTTTTAATAATTTATAGTTACGAGTGCTTTTCAAAGAGCATGGATGATCTTTAATTGCTTCGCCCAGTTGCATCATGAGGAGAAATGGAAAATGGAAAGTATTTAGTAGCAGCTGGAAGACTGTTAATTCAGAACATTTTCCTCGCTCCTGCCGTTGAAGAGAGAGCTATTGTCCAAAGTCAGTACAGTATTATATTCATAGCTCAGTCCATAGGCACTTTTTAAAGGTGGCTTTTTGACGTGTTTCACTGTAGAAAGATATGGCTTGCCCCATGATCTTGTGTCAGAGTGCGGCTTTTCAGAGATTCAGTCAGCTGCATGCACCTGGCTAGTATGATATTTATGCTTAGATTTCCCCAGTAATTCAAAGATATATGCCTTTGGGGTTTTAAAGTGTACCAAGAGTCTGTATCAGGCTCCCATCATACCTAGCCATTACAGCAAATGGTGAGAAATGTTGGGAATTGCAATTCAACACCATTTGAGGCAGGTCACTATAATTTGGCCACCCTGATCTGCATAACTTTAATCATTTATTTGCTGTACAAGAACTGCTGGATAGTTCAGTGGTTTGGGTCTCTGGCTGCGCAGTCAGAGGTTGGGTGTTCAGTTCCCCTCTGTGCCTTCTTGACAAGGGCTGGACTCGATGATCCATAGGGTCCCTTCCAGCTGTGCTTTATGATGATAATAATGATGAATATGTGGAGTGTGTCAGGATTCAGGATGAGTGGAACTAGTTAGAATTATGTGAATTTCTTCCCATGTGATTCTAATTGCATGAAAAAAAACAGAATGTCTACATAGGGCTTGAGGAGGATGAGAGTATCCATGGATAATCAAGAGTGTTGAAGTATAGAAATGAGCCTCTGTTTCAAAGCCGCTTTCATTCCTGCCTTGCTTAATCAGTTTGACTCAACTGTTCTTCAGACACATGTCAATCAGAATTGATTAACAGGTGGATTCCCCCCCCCAAAAAAAATCAGTTTTTAAGCTTCTCTTTTTCTTAAAAGTAGCCCAGACTGTTTTACAGTGAAATATAGATAGATCGCATAAATATTAATAAACATTGAAGCCATGACAACTGTATCAGTCAAATACAGCGCTGCTTTTTAAGTTTGAAAAGGCAAGGGGAAGGGGGATTTGAACATTTAAAACAATATACAGTATTCCATTTATTGGTTGTTGTGGGTTTTTCGGGCTCTTTGGCCGTGTTCTGAAGGTTGTTCTTCCTGTGGCCAGCATCTTCAGAGGACAGCACTCTGTGCTCTGGTGTAGTTGGCAATACTGCACTCCCAAGCCAACTACACCAGAGCACAGAGTGCTGTCCTCTGAAGATGCCGGCCACAAAGACTGGCGAAATGTCAGAAAGAACAACCTTCAGAACATGGCCAAAGAGCCTGAAAAACCCACAACAACCATGAGATCTCGGCCGTGAAAGCCTTCACGAATACATTCCATTTATTATTTTGATTGTCTCTTTTGACTGAACAAACCATCAGATGCATTGGGCTTCAGGAAACACCAGTCTGTCTTTCACCGGGGGCATCTCCAGAGCACAACAAAATGGTCTTGTACTTTTATGCCATTCAACTAAATGAAGTCTGCAAAATAGTTTTGAATATTTATAATCCTCCAAACAAGACTGTTTATTGTTGACTTCATGTGCAGCTTGGTCACTGTGAGGCCTTTCTGGCAAGTCCTTGACGGGCACTTACTTGAAAACTAAGTGAAGTGGGTTGTGTTCCTGGAACTGGACAGAGAGAGCCAGACACAAAGCCATTAATTTCACAATTTGCCACTCCTACCTTATCTTATGGAGATACAGACAATGTGTTGGCAGCATGATGAAAGCATTTGGATTATGCTCCTAGGTAGTATACATTCTTTATTTAGTTGCAAATCAATGTGTTCTAATTGCTGAAAGCAGCTTATTAGTATGTGAGCTTGGTCAGGAAATTATAAGGTAGGGCACTTGATTTAGCTCATTGATTTTAATAGGCATGATTTAAATCAATCCCTCCTGGTTTTAATCAGTTAACTTTTATCTCTAATGATTGAAACAACCAGGTATTTAGAAAGACTAATTTTTGGATTTCACTTCACAGATACTAATTTTATAAACAAATGGTTGTGGTGATATTTATATCATTTTGAGGAATGTACGGACAGCTTTATTTTGTGTTTATCAACCCAGAGGCTTCCTGAGTGATGCTGTTTTTCCTTTTACCCGAGTTTCCAAACTCACATTTGGAAATATGGAGAAATTTACTAAGCAGCTGTTTATGTGAATAAAAGCATAATAATTTTTTCCAGTTAGCAGTGCAGGTATAGAAGAGATTGCTTTTAGGGAAAAAAACACAGTATCTTAAGTATAGTGGCCAAACTCCTGTTGCTTAGTGAAATAAATCACACTAAAGTAGGTACATTTAATCATGTTTTTTTTTTTTTTAGGTAAATCATCTCTGTAAGTTCCATTGATTCAAATGGGCCTACTCTAACTGCAATGTATAGTATTAAAGTAGGTCACAGTTAGAAAAGGCCCTTTTGAATCAATGGAACTTACAGAGAAATTGACTTGACAGATTTCCATTGATTAAGTGAGCTTACTCTAGTATGATTTATTACACTAAGCAACAGGATTTTAGTTACTGTATAGTAGTATGAGGCTGTACTGCAACAAAAAATGACATTTCTAGTGTGCAAGAAGGGGCTTTAAAGGTCACTGCTTATGTTTGAAGCCCCATATGAAGAGAGTTACTCAGAAGAGCAACTCTAACTATTAGAAAAATCTTTAAGAACATTTTAGTGTATACGTTAATATCAGATAGTAGTTATTGAACACGTTATGGGGAAAATAAGTCATTAGCGTTTTTGTATACTTCAGTTTAGTCATCAATTCAAATGAAGATTGCAGCCAAAGGAATCAGAAAAAGACTAAAACTAGGAAGGGTAGCTGTAAAGAAACTAGGAAAGATCCTAAAATGTAAGAAAACCTCAATGGAGACTATGCTGTTTCTAACTGCCGTGTGTAGATGTCAGAATTTGAAAGTGGGGAAGGCTGAAATGAAAAGTGATTAATCTGAAACACGGTACTGAAGAAGAGCTTTATGCACATGATGGACTGCCAGAAAGAGTTGAGTGCCAATCAAATAAACTCTCCTTAGATAGAAGCAATTATGGCTAAATTGAGATTGTTGCACTTCAGGTATACCATGAGATTATGAGACCCACTGGAAAAGACACTAATGCTGGAAAACATTAAAGGTTACACAGGTGATGGGTTGACTCAATAAAGGAAGTCACAGCCTTCATTTCCAAGAGCTAAGCAGGACTGTTAACAACAGAACCTTTTGGACATCCCTAATTCATAGGGTCACCATAAGTCGGATGCAACCTGTGGCACATAATGGCAGTAACAACAAATTCATTTCATTTAGTGTAAATGTTGTGGATTTGTTTATCCTAACTTGTCTTTCATGAGTGGCAGAACTGCTGCCAAGTCAAATGACACAGGAAACAACTCCTAAACCATTGATTTACTTATTAAGCTAAACTGAATTTATATCCTAGGTGGAAAGGTGTAAACCTCAGGTAACTTTCTGTAATCTTAACTGACTATATGTGCAGGTTGAAAGAGAGAAATAACTAATACTGACTCATATATGCATTTTATAAGTAAAGTGAGAAAGGACAAGAAAGCAGGCATATGCTAAGACAGGAAATAGATATATATGTTGTGAGTGAGGCGGGGTACGGAATCAGTAAATCTGCCACCTCTGTTTTTGCTCAACTGAGTGTATTTTAACATGTTCATATATTTTGGTGTCATAGGAGTTGAAAAACTAATCCGCCATCTACATCAACACAACATACCGATAGCTGTTGCCACTAGCTCGTCTCGAGTGACATTTGAAATGAAAACAAGTCGACACAAAGACTTCTTTAATTTATTTCATCATATTGTGTTGGGAGATGACCCTGAAGTGAAGAATGGCAAGCCAGAGCCTGATGTGTTTATAGTCTGTGCAAAGAGATTTAATCCTCCTCCACCTCCAGAAAAGGTAGGAATAATCGTAAGAATAGAAACAGCAGTGATCTATAATCCAGGGCATGTTCTGCTCTTCATTTGTTATTTAATAGAGCAAATTCTAGGAGAGCTTTGAAAGCAACTTTTTTAAAAAAAGCAGAAGGAGAATATTGGCAAAAATCTTTTTATTGTAAATGAAGGTTTGTAATGCAAATGCATATTGATTTGCTGCTTTGTACTGCAGAGAAACAAGAACTTCTTGCAAGGTCTTTATAACTCTGAATGCTAAAGTTTAGAAGCCAGTAGCTCCCCACCCCCTGCTGCATCTGAGATCTTCTGTACAAATGCAGGTGACCTCTTAAATGGAATATGGCCTTATCTAGCCTTTCATGACATTTTTGTTTTGTATACTGAATTTGAAGTAATTATATTTTGTATGGAGTTTCAGCTGTTTTATCTGAACAGAGTGAAGATGTTTGCCCCAGGTGCTTGCAACAAAGAAGCAAGACTCTATTTTTGGTTGTTGTTGACTGGACAGCAGATGAATTAACTCTAACTTTAACTGTAGAGGATGCTAGTCTCCCTCCTTATGGTTTGGATTGTTCTTGGTTGAAAGCATTGGAGCATTCCTCTTTCCACCTCCTTCCATTTCAAAGAGTGATTTTCTTTGCTCAGAGCCACTAAATAGGTGATGCTTTCTCAAGAGTATAGTTTCTGTCCACTTTGGTGGACTTTGATGGTTAGGCATGAGCATGTCTCCTTTCATCTTTATATGTCCTTCAAGCTTCACCAGACTCATATGTATCTGTCTAAGATGTCGTTTCTAGGTTTTCTTCTGACTTAAATGATGGTGATGGCTGGTGGAGCAGAAGGTACACCAGCCAAAGGTGGGAGGAAGCTGGGGTTATATTCCCAGACACATGGAGGCAGGCAAGCATTCACACATACACACAGAGGCAGGCTTTCACTCACCCCTTTTCTGTTAATTCACTCTACAACATGGTTGTCGTCATTTAGTCGTTTAGCCGTGTCTGACTCCTCGTGGACCCCATGGACCAGAGCACGCCAGGCCCTCCTGTCTTCCACTGCCTCCCAGAGTTGTGTCAAATTTATGTTGGTAGCTTCGATGACACTGTCCAATCATCTCATCCTCTGTCGTCCCCTTCTCCTCTTGCCTTCACACTTTCCCAACATCAAGGTCTTTTCCAAGGAGTCTTCTCTTCTCATGAGATAGCCAAAGTATTGGAGCCTCAGCTTCAGGATCTGTCCTTCCAGTGAGCACTCGGGTTGATTTCCTTTAGAATTGATAGGTTTGTTCTCCTTGCAGTCCAGGGGACTCTCAAGAGCCTCCTCCAGCACCACAATTAAAAGGCATCAATTCTTCGGTGGTCAGCTTTCTTTATGGTCCAGCTCTCACTTCCATACATCACAACAGGAAAAACCATAGCTTTGACTATTCGGACTTTTGTTGGAAAGGTAATGCCGCTGCTTTTTAAGATGCTGTCAAGATTTGTCATCACTTTCCTCCCAAGAAGCAGGAGTCTTTTAATTTCGTGGCTGCAACATGGTACCTTCCCCCAAACTGGAAGTGTTCCAATTGCTGCTGCTTCCCTCCTGGTGTGAGGCAAGAAACATGGACAGAGGCCTGATCCTCTGACTCTAGGAAGTGGGCAAGCAGAAGTGGGTAGACTAGGATAATTGAACCTTGAAGTAAGGCTAGTTCCTGTTTTCCCTAATGTATCAGATTCTACTACTAACTGTCCTTTCCATGATACAGGCAGGAAAACATGCACACCCTTAATTCTGCCACCAATGCAAATGCAGATGGTTTCCACTGTAGTGCAGGGCATGCTGCATGGGTGATGAGGGAGTGGGTTTCAGCCAGCCACACCTTGCTTCTTTGTCAGAAGCAAAATTTCACCCTTGTCTCCACTCCTTCTCTGAAATCAAAAGGTCAGTGAACCTAAACAGATCTTTCTGTTGCAAAACGCCTTGCTGGTTCCACTTTGTTAGTAATTTGAAGTCATGATTTTTGATGATTTAAATGGTGTGAAAGTTTGTAGATTACATACTTCTTTATATAGCTTCTTGCATAGATTACACTGGATGACAAAGCTGGACTGTTGGGTGCAAGTTGCCATTAAAGGGTTTAGCAGTAAATACATGCGCTAATATACCAGGCAAGAGCTGCAATCCGTAGAGGTCTTTTATTTATATTTCTCTGAGTCTCTGGTTTACAAGCTGTGTGTAATTGGCTAATTTGTGCTGCCCTAATGTGGCACTCTTTAGTTGTATCCATTAAAACTTAGTGCCAATTATATAGGTCACTTTAAGCTTTCCCTGGAGTGCTTGAATTTTTATTTTCTTTTATTTTACTTTTTGTGTAGAATGCTTTCTCTTCAGATTTTTCACAGCAGTATTACAATATCTCAAGAGGTATGAAAGACTGGATATTAAGTGTCAATACTTCACAATATTGCTTTATGGGATACCAGAAATGTGTCAGCATGGTATTAGAGCTAGGACAGCAGTTGGAGCCGTCTTCCTAAAAAGGAAAGTCTTTGCCCAACAAGGGAAGGATAAGAGGGAACCTGGCTTCTCAGGGTGGCACATAAGTTGAGTAGAAGGATTTCTCAAAATTCCATGCTGTTTGTACATCTTATTGTTACTTGGCATTGACATGTTTCTGAAATTTGTGCTTTTGTTTTACAGTTTTTGTTTGTTTTATTCATAAAAGTGTTAGAGCAGAGGAAGGAAGGAAACTGGAAGACGAAATGTCTGTTGTTGAGTATCATAAGCTGATGGGACAGAGTCTGGTAGTGGCTAGTACATTTCCAGTCTAGGAGGCAGGTTTCTCAATTTCACATCTGCTCCATCATTTATTATTTTCTCTTCATTTTTTTAACACTGAACATAAAATGAGTCCAAAGGCATTTTCTATTATCTTAAATTATTTAATTACTAGGTCTCCCCTATTTTTAGCTGGGTTTTTTTTTCTGTTCATTTTGGGTGCAGGAAAGATGTTGTCTCCATTGGAAATAATTTAGCTATTGGATGTACTGGTGCAACCCCTGCTTTCAAAATTTCATGTGTTGGATTGGCATATACATACATGGACAGACAGGCAGAGAAACAGAAAGACAAGACACAATGTGTTGGATTGACATATACTGTACATACATGGACAGACAGGCAGAGAAACAGAAAGACACACACACACACACACACACACACACAAAACCTTTTCAAGGTTCTCCAGATAGACATTACTCAGAGCTAATTTACCATTCCCTTCTTCAGGGGGTGCTGTGCAGCTTGTCGAAGGCTATACAAGCTGGCTCTTCTCCATGGAGCCACAATGAGGGGTTGAACTCCCAGCCTCTTGCTCTGCAATCAGATAGATAATCCACTGAGCTATCAAGCCAGATACATATAGAGAGAGCTGATTGGATAGCTACAGTATATCTAGCTATGCCAGCTGTATCTCTTGATAACAACTGAATATCTCTGGATAGCTATATCCAGCTATATCCCTTACCAGCTATATCCATAATAAATCAAATGTTATTAAGTGAGAGTCCCATTGGTATTTAATTCTCCAGGTTGTAGTGGTCGTATAAGAGAAAATAATGTATTTGCTTATATTCTTTGGGGTCCTCCATTTTTGTTTGTAGGGGGGATGGTAGGTGTCTTCATAATCTGTCAAACAGCTGGTAAGGGATTTGATGAAATATGAAGCAGAATAATTAATTATGTTTCCCTTCTTTTTCCCCTTATAATAATATGAATGAGAAAACACATTGTAATTGATAAAAAGTGTTATATTCAGATTAGTAGATCACTAGGGATATGTTACAGATTGTTTTAAGGAGCTAGTTTATAGATATGGTTACATATTACAGATAGGAAGCAGGGATGGAAGTAAAAATTTTTTTTCTTTTATGAAATACAACTTTCTGAGTTATAGCTTCTCTGTTGTTTTTTTAAAGACCTCTCCACACTTTGTCAACTAGAGCAATCACTGAATTCTAGTATAACATACTAGAATTATTTCATAAAAACTTTTTAAGATGCATTCTAGACTGTTCATGCAGGGAATATATTCTCTTTTTTAAAAAGATTAAGGGTATTGATCAGACTATTGTTGAAGCTGCTTCCTTAATTGTCCCAATGCTTGTCATAACTGTGGATCTTCATAGTCTTAGAACAAAGGATTACGAGAACAAGGAAATGCTCTGTTGGCATTATTTTTGTTGTTCTGCAATTTATTTTTCTTGAGAGGCCTGCAGGGACCTTGGAGAGTCAAGTGTATTTTTGTTATTGTTGCTGCTATAGTTTTACTTCTAAGATTGTTTTTTTGGGGGGTGTTTGTTTGTTAGTTAGTTTGTTTCATTACAAAAGCTTGCTTTTAAAGAGAGTCTGATGCTTGGGTTTCCATATTTCTTTCGTGTGTCACTTACATGCTGCTTATTCCATTATATGCCAGTGATATATTCATTATTATTAATGCGCTTCCATTGGCAATGTAACTCTAAAAGCAATATAGTTTATTAGTTCAACCAAACTATTTACTGCTTAAAGAGGGCAAAGTGTCTTATGTTATATTAGTACAGTAGACAGCAGTCATGAATTTAGGGCAGTTATAAAATGATTTTAAACTTCAATTTATAAACTCTTGTTTCAAAACTATTGATGTGTTAGACTTTACATTTGTGATACCTACTGGATAAGGGGAGTTTATTGAATATAGGACAAGCCTGTGTATGTCTGTGTATTTCTTTTTTTAAAAAAAACTCATTTTCTTTGTTGGAATAATAATAGCCAGGAAAGTTAGGACCAGCATACTTTTTATTTTCATTCGTTTCTTTACAATTTCTGATTCATTAAGAACCTTCTCTTAATGATATCATCAGTGCATCAGATCCAGATGGGAATAACATAAGAAAAATGTCCTCACTATCTAGCTCCATTTTGTCAGGCATATAAAAATCCAAGCTTCAGCATCATCTGCAAGCATTTTAAACCAACATTTTG